AAACTGAGCATCATAATGACGAAGAAAGGTGATTTGAGTTTGTGGCATGGTTGTTGGTATTTCAGAAAGCGCTGATCTGCTGGGATTTTCCCATACAACCATCTCTAGGGTTTGCAGTGAATGGTCTGAAAAAGACAAAATATCCAGTGAGCGGCAGTTCTTTGGATGAAGATGCCTTGTTGGTGTCAGAGGTCAGAAGACAATGAGCAGAATGCTTCTAGCTTGATAGGAAGGTAAAAGTAACTAGGGCTGCTCAATTAATCGAATTTTAATCACGATTACGATCTGGGCTTTCAACGATCATTAAAAATGACTGAGCCGATTATTAGCCCCTCCCTCATTTATCCGCGACACCTTAAAGGCCGGTCCGTGAAAATATTGTCGGGCATAAACCGTCTGTGGCGCAAAAAAGGTTGGAGACCGCTGATTAAGAGGACCCGAGGGAAGCTCGGAAAGCTAAGCAGAAGTTATTTGGAGAGTGACTGCCGTTGGTTGAAAAGAGAGTTTAAAAAAAAAAAAAACTTCAGTGGTGTTGCACACTATTTTATATTATTTTTTAAAGTCATTGTTAACCCTTTAAAGCCGGTCAGAGCAGCACGCTCCGTTTTGCGTAACTATTTTTAAATCCCTGTAGAACCTGAACCGTGTAAGCTAGCGCAATAATTTGTTTTGCATATGAAACCGGAGGAGTTGTACTTACATCTGATGCCATCAGCTTGTCCTCGGTCACGGTTTCGTTCCACATATAGCTTTGCAAAAATTGCATAAAAAGCGCTTGCAGGAACAAAAACATAATATTCCAGAAACACGCTTTGCCGTTCCTATCAGCTGTTCGTAACACTTCCCACAGTGAAATGATGCACCTGCTGTTTTCTTTGCAAATTTGCATCATAGGATTGTTTTTTGTTTTTCCTGCAGTATATAAAAATTGCTGTATCTCCAAAATAAAACTATGAAGACACTCAAAATAAATTTCCTGTTGTTGTAAACTATTTTTTGCAACTTTATTGTATTTAAAGTTTTGAGGGATAAACCTCTTAAATTTCTCCAAGTAGAAATATATGTAAACAAAACAAAAGCGATTTTCAATTTTTTTTGTAGTTTATTGCACTTTTTTGCAATTTATGTAATTACTATGCACTTAATGCATACATATTATTAAAATATGGGCTATAACAGTTGTATTGATGTATAGCAACTTGAAATGCTCCCACAAATGGCACTACAGCATGTAAAAAAATAATATAAGCTCTGGTGGACTTGGTTCTATAGTAGGTCTTAAAGGGTTAAATAAATATCGTCAAATAATCGTGATCTCAATTTCAGTGAAAATAATCGTGATTATCATTTTTGCCATAATCGAGCAGCCCTAAAAGTAACTCAAACAACCACTCGTTACACCCAGACTGGGTGGCACTCCTGTCAGCTAAGAACAGAAAACTTGCCTGGTCTGTTGAGTCTCGATTTCTGCTACAACATTTGGATGGCATAAACAATATGAAAGCATTGATCCTGCCTGCCTTCTATCAATGAATACCAAGTGAACATTGTTTAAATTTCACAGCTTAACGGGAATATTTGGTCATCCCACTATAACCATAGTGTACCCATCTTCTGATGGCTGCTTCCAACAGGATAACACACCATGTCACAAATCATCTCAAACTGTTTTTTTCCCCTGATTTCTTCAGCAGACAAACCAGCAGCAACTGTACAATCCAATCATGTCAATATGGACTCAGATCTCTCAGGACTGTTTTCAGCATCCTGCTGGATCTATGCCATGAAGCACTGAGGCAATTCTGAAGGCACAAAGGGGGTCTGTGAAAGAGCCTGAAATGCCAACCTTATTTTTTCCTCATGTTGTTGCTGTGCAGGTCAAAGCAATCATTTCTTTTACTATCTTATATGTGCCTATCTGTCAATGTGACATCATGCATTCAGACTTGCGCTGTAACAAAAGAGATAAATGTCAGACAGCCGCTGTAACGCTTCACATGCGTTCAGATACTGTTGGATTACAGGAAAAGGGTGCAGTGTGTTATGTAAGATAATGTTGAAGGGTGGATGCAAGAACTGCCCATTCAGGGTGATTCGGGTGAATTCACACTGTTCATCTGTGACCCAGCAGGTGGCGCTGTGCTCTCAGCAGAATCTGAGTAAAAGGAGGTCAACTCTAAAGGGTAGAGCTAGCTCGCTACATGTTTCCTGATGGTCTCTGGACACACACACACACACACACACACACACACCCCACGTCTCCGTATGAATTTTCATTTTTCATCTCCCTGTTTTTTATCAGTGTTGCTTTCTCTTCACAGATTCGGTTTCATCTCTTTCCTTCATGCTTTGACATCACAGATCGCCCACCAACAGGAAGATTACCTTAAAATTCACCTTATTTCTACACCCACTCTTCTAAACATCTTCTCCAGTTTTCTCTTTTAGCTTTTATACCACATGTCAGTCTCTGTTATCTATCTTCCTCACATCCCCTCAGCCTCCTTTTTTATTTTCCTCCTATACATACATTCATCACTTACAATTCACCCAACATCTCACTTGACCTCTCTTGCCTACAGTATCTTCACTGCATGTCATCAGTAATACAACTCTCCCTCTTCATCTGCAGTAATAAAAAAAAAACCCCACACGCATACATTTCCTACCACTAATGAGGTCCTTTAACCCCTTTCATCAATTCTTGGCGGTCTAAATGTCTTTGATCCACATCTATACATCAACTCTGATCTGTGCTCAGAGTTCTTCGACTTAGTAACTTCTAATTTACAGCATACTTAAGGACTCAGAGGACTTATGCTTTAAAGGAGGCAATAATTTATATTTCTTTTTGTTTTATCACCATGCTTGAATTCTCAACTTTATTCAGTGTATAAAGAGTTTAGCTGAATGCCTCATGTTATGAGACTTCAATTGGATGAAGTTGCAGTTTTTCAGGGTTGAATCTGGTGGTGAATCACCCTCTGAAGTTCTTCAGTTTCACATTGGAGAACAGAAAAGCTGCAGCAGTGTGATGTTAACCCTTGACACTCACCATACAATATAATTTATAGATTAGAAATGATTACAAGTTGTATTTTATTACAGGAATGATTCACTGTAGGACTAAAATTGCTTTTGGGTTAATTTGCTCATGTCAGGTTTAAAGGACTTCCTCCAGTGGAGTTAATTCCCATAGACTCGTGTGTTAAAAGTCCCATGGGGGTGGGGTGGGGGGGGTGGGGGGGTACTTATTAAGCTCACTGATCTTAACCTTTTGACTGTTTGTGGTGTTGGAGCCTTTTGGAACATTTTTCATACAATTAATAGTGTCTGAGAAATAATATGGTCTACTTAGCTTGTCTCTTACTTAGCACTAAGTAGCTGTGTTTTGAATGCTCAATTTAAGCAGAATACCTAATGTACCAGTCTCTTTAACATTTAAAGGTGCAAATATGGTCACGACTCCAAAACCACTGAAAAAGGAGAGTCAAAACACCACTTGATTGAGTCAAGGTGAACAGGTCTAGATCTGATTTGCTGTGGATGATATCGTGGCAAAGTTCAGCTGGTGAATTAAAACAGCCAATGTTAGCATGGAAGACCAGGATCTGAGACACGGCCTGGAGCTTTTCATGAATAGATTTCACATTGATTGGACTGGCTAAGTGCATATGTAGGTCCACATGGGTGGCACTTCAAGACCCAGATGATGTACTCTTTATGTTCATAAAATATAGTAGGAAACATCTTCTTTTTTGTACAAAAATCTTTCATGCCTACTAAATTGATGGAATTTAATATAATTTAATATCAGGGGCACTAGCAACACACAGACCATGCTGAGTATACGTAAAGGATTCAATATATTTGGGATTTACAGTTCGGAAGTGGTTTTTTTGGATGTTTGAAATAGTACATTTGATGGCGTTGACATGTCATGATTTTTTTGTAAAAAAAAAAAAGTTTGTTTGTGTAGTTGGACTTCAGCCTTAAACTGCAGGTAGGATACTGGTGACACTGGAGATATATAGAAGGTTTCTATTTTTGGACTGAACAGCTCATGTACAGTGATGTTTAGATGAAGAGAGCAGACTTTACATTTACTGTCTGTGTGAAGAAGACGTGCTGATGGTGCAGGCAGCACAGATCCATTGTTATATGAGAGTTTCATTAATTTAGAATCAGTTGTCTCATACTTCCAAGACAGGTCTGGGCGTTGTTCCTTAATTAAATTGATTCCATATACAGATGTGAGAGTGTGAGAGTGTGGATAAAGGCACATTACAGCTTCTACACGTGTAATCCGGAGCGCTATACTGTGCTGGCGTTTGTGTTTCTATTTTGCCAGCCTTTGATTCATGGATTATCATTTCTTTTTGTGATCTGTTTGTGTTTTGGAGACTGAATACATTATTTCCAGATGACTGCAGCACAGGTAAATATTGCAGGTGCACTCATTGCTTGAAGCTTGCAGTAAATCTCTCATGGTGCCGCCGCTTACGGTTAGGCAGTTTCGTTACGCACTGTTGTGCTCAGCGCAGTGATTTAAAATTTATGACACGCACAATGTGATTGGCTGGGAAGAAAAAAACTCGTTGCACTTTATACTCCATTCCACCTGGCCAAAAAGGAATAAAGGAAGTCTATGCTTTAAGTGTCTCATTATGAAGTAGTGACTGCACTGCATGAACAAACAGGAAACCCACATTTTTTTTTAAAGACTCCCCAAATGTGAAAAAGAGCATTTGTCTAAAAAACAAAGTTAAATCTGTAGAAGAGATCTGACTGTTGCCTCTACTGTTATTTTCCCCAGAGACACCCAGTCTGTTTATTAGGATATAGTGGGATATACTTTAATGCTCGCACTTGACCCTGGCAACGCAGAATGACATCATCTACGATGAATAGGCTGACCTGCACTCAGAATCTGTTAAGTGTTACTCGTCCGCAGCTGTACAGCTGTTTAAAGGCATATAGTTTTTAAAATGTGTACATACAGTATCTGAAGGGCGGAGATCTTGTCTTTGAGCAGTTCCTGGGCTTTGTTGAAATCTGACAGCATGTTCTGCGTCTCCCTGCTGTGGACGGCGCTCAGCTCGGCTAGCTCCCGCTCGTGTCTCTTTGTCAGCTCCTGCTCATGAGCCCTGAGGAACGAGAAGAAGAGTCAGCCGACAATTTGAAATAGCATTTAAGATTTTTTTGCATGCAGTGTCCAACTCACTAAAATACTGCCATCACACCAAATGTGAGATGAAGTTTTCACACTGCCTTCGTACACACAGAGTCTATGCAATGAGACAAACTGACACAAATTTGCACCGGGCGATGTGAACGGAGCCAAATCTGCATTTGTACTATTTAAAATATAAAACCCATCAGCCGGGATTCTCCTGAAGCTACAGACAATCAGAAATGAAGGACAATCTTGCTGATGCCATTAAGGAGCAGCTGGAGCCGCTTCAGCTTTGCAGGACTTTCTGGCAACTTCTGAAATTATTTTACCTTAACTTAATTCCCACTATCAGTTGTGTTCCATGGATTCGATTTTAATAGAGAGTATTTTCTGGTGTATGAAAACTTGCCAGTAGTAGAAACAGCAAACAGTGAATCAACAGTCGACCTTTGAATCATAAGAGCCAACATCCTGTGGCCACAGCAGAGGTTCAAGACAAGTTTAGCTGTTTGCTGGCAGACATAGGATGTGGATAAGTGCACTTGTGGTTTTCTTGTCTCTCAGTATTGATAACTTGGGTTTGCACTGGCTATGTTTAGTGTCCGGGTGGGATGTGCCAGAGATACTGTGACTCGAGAGTGCTAACCACTGGCCCACCATCCCCATAGACATCAAATAACCATGACCTAAATAGGAGGAATAGGAGGACTCTGCCAATGCTGACTGGGTGGCAGGTGTTAAACTCATACACAGTTCTGGTTTCTGGTCTACAGGGATACAGCACACTGAGGAAGTAACTGTCTCTTCCTGTTTTTGTAGGTTTTTTTGGCATATTTGTCAACACTTACATGTCTCAGATCATCAAACAAGTCTTAATATTAGACAAAGATAACCCGAACAAACAGACATTTTCTTTGATGATCTGAAGCATGAAAACGTGCCAAGAAGGGTAGAGCGCAGATACTTTTTAAATGGTATTATAGATGCTTAGTCTCACCAACGGTGATGAAAAACACAGAATTACTTGCAATATTTTAGCTCCGTCTAACGTGATTCCGCTTTTTGACTCAAACCCAACCCAAATATCAGATCGGTGCGCCCCTACAGCACCTCAGAGCTGTTGCCAATTAAAAGAATCATGATAATGACCGAAAAAACAATTAATTATAATTGCATTACATCGCACTGTTCACTTTTAATTAACAAAAATATTAAGTATATCCCATGTTTCACATCACATCATGTTTCACTTTGCTTGATCACAATTTAAGCTCTGGGATAAAGTGCTGTTTGCTGTAACTCAGAGGTAATAGATTTATTTTTACTCTTTAATATGTGAGGTTGCACTTTAAGACTTAATCAGGTCCTGCAGACTCTCTCTCTCGCTTTGTATTTTTCTCCCAGGACGGGCAAAACATAATGGATTGCTCCAGGGAAATGTTAGTGAGATAAGAAAATCCAGAGACGGATGCACGGAATGAATTCCTAGAACATAATTTCATGACAAACACATAATTAATTTAAAATCATAATGAAACTGACATGTATGAATATTTAATAAAAAAAATACTGCAAAACATGCGCACAGCAATATTTGAAGACCTGGACAAGGGGCAGGATGATAAAAGAGGATAATGAAATGAGGGGAATAAAAAAACAAAACAAAACGAGTTGATGAAAGCGAGGAGGACGATGGAGGCAGAAACATGGATGCCCGTCTGCCTCTCATTCTGACTGGGCCAACTCTCCCCGAGGGGCGCACGTCTCATCTCCCGCTCTCTGCTTCCTCTTTATTTATTTATCAGTCTATTTTTATCCCCGTGACCAGGATTCAGACGGGGCGTTACGTAACAGGAGAAGAAATGTGCTGCGCATGGGTCTGACAGCAGAGAGCGATGACGTGCATATATAAAGGCAAGCGGCACACAAATTAACAGATAATAATAATGCACCACGGGCGCATTTAAAAATACAGTGTGATGGATGCTAATGAGTAGCCGGACCACATTACTCATATAGCACTTTAAAAATTCATGCCATGCCGCAGGGACAACACGATTATAGCCCACATTTTGCATTACCCAAAATAATCTTCATGTCTTCTAATCAATGGGCTCCTGACACTGGTCGAGAGACAGAGGCAGACTAAAGAGACGGATTTGCTTCTTTCGGGCTTTTCTTTCCTCCCTTTTATCTTTTGGTGTATTTTCATCACTCAGGCTCGGACAGAGAGGGATTGCAGAAACTATCGTCATCCAAATATAATAAGAGAATTCAAATTCAGACACATGTGCCGATGACAGGCCCACTGCGGGCGTTTTTGTGTGTTCTAGGCGACAGCGTGTACACGCCAAAGCTATCCTGAAATGTCACTGACAGTGTGGTGCTAATGTTTTTAAAGGAATAGTGTGACATTTTCAGGAAGGCAGCTTTTCTTCTTTTTTTTTTTTTGCTTTAAATGCCACATTCAGCATCATCTGTTTTTTTTTTTGCATGGATTAAAGAAATAAGATGTGACGTTTGTAGTTTTTTCCCCAAGAAACAAACTGTTTAATGTTGCTGTTTACTGCTCTGAGCTAAAAGTCTAGATCAGCATTTTAGGAAATATGCTTATTTACTTCTTTAATATGTATATTAGGACATTCTATTGCTTACTTATGAAGTTGAAAATTGCAGTTAGTTCAGATTAGCATGAAGAAAGCAACATCTAGCTTGGCTTTCCCCAAACTTCAAAAACTGGTATTGCCCTCAAATAAAGCAGATTTAACCAAAAGATGTATTCATTACGAAATGTGCAGAATGTGCAAACACATCATAACAGAAAACATTAATAGGCAGGATGGCGGTTCAGGTCTACCCTGGACATTTCCCTTTCCAGCATGTTCTCCCTGTACTTGCAGGGTTTCCTGTGTGCTCTAACTTTCTGTCATAGAGCAAAACCAAACATGTTAGGTCAGGATCCAGCCACACATGCCTAGAGACTAGGGCTGCCACAAACGATTATTTTGATAGTCGACTAGTCACCGATTATTTTTGCAATTAGTCGACTAATCAGATCATGCATCCATTGGACGTAAAACGTACAGCTTATTGCACCAGCATGCAACTGCTCTTATATAACTATCATTAGCTTACAGCTTTAAGTGTTTAAGGTATGTGCTAACTAAAAATGAAGACAAGATGATAGTTTATTAAATGTAAATGAAATTTGCAGATTGTTTCCATGGAATTTAATAAACTCAGCCGTCTGCTCCTTGCTATCTAAAATATAACGGGACACCGGAGTAAATTCTCGAGCATCTCACACTTCTGATAATCAGCTGTCTGCTTGACGTTTATTCAGCTGTGTAAAAACTATAACTTTAATCTCAGCCAAACCGATTTACTCAGGAACAAATAAAATACTAAAAAAAGCCAAACAATAACATTTTGAAGTTATCTAAGTGACTTATATATGTTTAACCTGAGTAGCGAAAGACGACGGTGAGTTTGAAAACGATTTGCCGGGAGTCCGGTGTTCTCGCCGGCTCTAGTAAGCCTTGAACCCCGGCTCGCTATCAAGCTGGTGGGTAACAGACGTCTCCGAAAGCGTCGGAGCGCTTTTGAAAATATGCGGTTTCTTGATAAACTGAGCAGATATTTCAAGTTTACACAGCTACATACTCGCCCGAAAATATGTTAAACGTTTATTTTGTGACCCAGAAAATAAACGTTTGCCACCACTGTTGGAAACTGAGCAGGGCCGTGCTATGAATTCTGGGATAGGTTGGGCCCCGAAGCAACCAATCCTTCAAATCTGGGGAAGGGCACATTTGTTGGCCGCATTTGTCGGAGTCTTAGAATTTGGACAGTCTTCGTCGTGTTGTTGTAACATAATCGGCCTACAAATCCAGGCACAGAAGGATGCGCTTCCAGAATTTGGACATAGCTGCGATACCGGACACTGCCTCTTCTTCTTCGGGGTTTAACGGCAACTGTCACATGTCAGTTGCGGTGGTAAGATCTAACTTTCTTCGAAGGTAAACCTAACTTTCTGCTAGTAGTTGGCATCCATGCTAACCACCAGTAACCACAGCAGACAGCTAATGACCAAATCAACTGCAAGGAGGTTTTTGAAGCAGAACTGTCTTTGTGATTAATTTCACATTACAACATCCAGCAAACACTCGACTGGTCTCTAGGTCTGTGCGTCTGAGGTATGTTATATGTGGGTGTATTAATGAATGTGCCTGAAGTGGTTTGAGTACTAAGAAAGACTAGAAAACCACAATATGAATAAATGCCAACCCACATAACATAAATGTCAAGCTTCTAAGACTGATTATGAATATTGTGAACACATGCCAGCTTTGCTTTCACGCTGAGCTCTGCAGATTGTGCTTCAACCAAAACCTAAATTCCTCATTTTTAAAAGTCAAACTCAAAATTGATTCAACAGAAGATTCTAAATGGAATCTGAACCATGCACTGTAACTGCTTACTGCCAAAAACGGACACAAAAAGAAAGAAAAATAAGGCACTCAAACAACCATCGCTCTAAAATATTCAGCAGTTTGGTTGCTAGGTTACAGTAAAGGATAAGCTTCACTGTGAAGATGCAGTTTTGTTTTTTTTCTTTTCTGTGTTTTTGAGATATTTGGACGTGCAGGTGTGTGAGAACTGTTCAAAGTGCAAGTTTAACGATTCATTCTTCGGCCACACAGAAACATGATACAAAAGAAAAAAGAGGCATATTCAGAGGAGATCAGTCACAAAGGTAGAGGATTAAGCAGTCTAATGTAAATGCAGCAAACAGTAACTTAATGTTGACAAAAAGAAAACAATGTTTAGTTAGACTCTGGAACGGTAGACGAAACCAATTTGCTGTGAACGTGTTGAGAAAACGCGTTTTTCCTCCCTGTGAAGTAAAGTTTGACCGCAGGTTTTCACTTCAGTGCTACACAATGAACACTGAGTCATACCGGATCTGCTGATTGGCTTCACTGCGGATCTTGAGCACCTCCTTGCCCTTCAGCTCCAGCTCTTTAGTCAGGGTGCTGATGTTCTCGTTGAGCGTGTGGATTTGGTGGTCCAGCTGAGCAATGTGGTTCTTCCTCCTCGTCACCTCCTCCTGCAACTCGGAGATCCGGCCCAACAGCTCGCGTTCCTGTGAAAAGAGAAACAATAAAAATCAGCTCTGAAGAGATGAAGGACATAAAGGTTTAGCTATAAGGCTTGTAATGTTGATTTTAAAGCTTATCTATATGGTAGAATATTTTGGAAACTAAACTTTAGAAATTTTTAAAGTTGGTTATTTCGAACATGTTTAACACCTTGAGAATATTTTTTAAATCCACCATTAGGGTGAAACTTTTCAGATGAATAGGTGAATGCTGAACACAGCTGAATGAACAAAAATGGCTTTACCACGATGAAGCAATCATCCATCAGTGCACACAACGCAGATAGCAACAAAGCCTCTTAACGAATATAGTGAACAGCATTTTATCTTAAGTCCTAAATTTATGCAGGACTTTAAATAATCTGGCTTATGTGTCTTGATTCAATTGTCAAAACCCTTTTCAATGTGTCCATAATTTCACATCCTTAAGAAGCTCACAGAGCCGAATTACAGCTTTTATCAAAAACTGAACATATGTTTTGACATAAGTCTGTTGTATTTACTGTATTTTCTCAAAAAGCAACAGAGACTATTTATCTCAAAAACAGAAGACTTGCAGCATCTTGTATTAGAGGCAGGTTTGGTATTTCTCACAAACTGTTCAAACCTTCTGTTTGCAGACAAAAGTTGGCTTAAAGGGAGAGAAGCTGTTTATTTCAGACAGTGGATTAATCGAAAGGTTGCAGCACTATAAGATTAATAGGGGTTATTTTGAAGTGGGAATCGCACAAAGCCACTTTCGCAGAGTTCAGGAAAAAAAACAGAGGTGGAAAGGAGCATATTAGGTCCTCTTTAAGTAAATTTACTTGTTTCCTCAGGTAAAGTCACTGCATGATACTGTTAAGGCAGTATTAAGCTGTGACCCTTCTTAAAATAGATCAGAAATAAATGTTAGATTGCCAAATTCTTTGAACAACAAGCAGCACACCAGTGCCAAAAGTATTCGCTCAACTTTCCCACACATATGAACTTGACTAAAATCCCATTCTTAATGTCGGCCAACCATTTGCAGCTATGACAGCTCCAACTCTTCTGGGAAGGCTTTCCAGAAAGTTTAAGATGACCAGTCTTTTAGAAGTGCATTTATGAGATCAGATGCTGATGTTCACTGAGATGGCCTGGTCCACATTCTCTGGTCTGATTGATAGTAAATGGTAAATGGACTGGTTCTTATATAGCACTTTTCTACTCTGAGTACTCAAAGCGCTTTATACAACTTGTTCATTCACCACACCCATTCACTTTTCTAAGTTTTTTAGTGCTATCTAACTACCATTCATACATACACATTCACACTCCGATGGCTGCATCGGAGAGCAACCTGGGGTTAGTATCTTGCCTAAGGATATTTGGCATGCAGACTGGGATTGAACCACCAACCTTCCAGTTAGTAGGTGACCTGCTCTACCACCTGAGCTGCACAAAGTTGCGAGCATGAAGTTGTACAAAGTTTCTTGGTAGCTGAAGTATTAACAGTTCCTTTAACTGGAACTAAAGGGCAGAGCAAAACTCCTGAATAACAAGCCCAGACCATAAACCCCCTCCGCCAAACTTTACACAGATTTTCCATTGGCCTTCCATTTATTTGGGCTCAGGACACAACTTAACACTTCCTGTAACTCTTTCAAATTAAAAGCCTTAGTGTTTCTTCTTACCACAGCTTTGCAGGCATATACAACAAACACTGGAGAGGACTGTTCCTTTAGCTTGCACATTATAGGCAGCCCTTATTTGGTCACTTTGTCCACAGAGACATCTAAATCCTCTACTGGTTTTCATTTAAGGATACACAGTGATTTCCAACTGTGCCACAATAAGCTGAGTCTGTGTAAGGTTCTTATTTTGTCAACTTACTTGCATTTTGCAGCCAGTGTACTTGGGGAAACAATGATCTATTAGTTCTTTTGGGCCATAACAGTTTGTTTATGACTGATAAAAGCAACTTAATAAAATCAACTTAATAAAACTTAATAAAATCCAGTAGAGAACTCAAGCTGTTGAACCAGGTAATTTAACTGACGAGTATGGCAAAAACAAGATTTCAGTCATTATGGGAGAGACGAGATTCATCTGAGCTCTGATAATACAACAGTGCTGTAAACTACTGAATGACTTCATGTAAACATGACCAACAACTGAAATTACTCACGACCGCCTGCCGAGCTGCTCTTTTCTTCTGAGCTCCACACTGACACAAGAGGCAGCTCGATTCTGTCGCATTTTGAAAGTGAGAAAATGAGCAAGTGATTTTCCCAGCAGGGGTGCGGTGAACGACGCGTAGGTTCAACCAAACAGTGGCATAAAAAAAACAAAAAGAACAACGCAGCCTGTCTGCATTTACGAGTCCATTATTGGAACATGTGACTCACAGCTTCGCAAACTTTAAGAAGTATTCCACTTTCTGTTGTTTGTTAATAGGGAGCTTAAATTTCTTTTGTATACAGTGCATGAACTGAGGGGGTGCATTGAGGTCTGGTATAAGATAGAAAAGGATTATTTTGAATAGTGCATAGCTACTCTGATAAAGTCATAAGGTCAGTTGCTGCGATTTATCCTCTTTGTAGCTCTGAATATCATCTCAGATTTTCCTGAAAATGGTAAATTGATCTGTGCCTGTAAACGGTGAACTTTAAAGAAACAATGACACCTTATTATGTTACTTATTTCACTGTTTTATATATATATACATATATATACATATATATACATATACATACATACATACATATACATATATATATTAATTGTCATCTCTCATTTGGGTGTTTCTATTTTAGTAACTTTCAGTTTTATGTTGACTGTCATTTGTCTCTGATGTGTTTTAGACACAAGAGACTGCTTCCTTTCTCTCATTGTCCTTGATTAGTTTTGGCTGTTCCTTGTTTCCCAGGTGTTTCCACTCCTCTGATTAGTCCTCATTGGTCTCCTTGGTGTTTGATCTTAGAACCTTGGCATCTCATCTAATAAAAGGTTGATTTTAAAGATTACAGAAAAGTTTATTTGTCATCATGGAGCATTTTGTGTTGACTGATGAGGAGAAAAAATGAGCTGAATCCATTTTCAGAGGAGCCTGAAACACTGAAAGAGATCTGAAACCTTTCTCAAGTCATTGTCATTAACATACTCAACTCTGAAATTCCCGGGAGGTGAAATGGGCCTCACGTGCCAAACATTTCATTACGTTTGGTGACTTAAATGAAGAAGCAAGATGTGATCTGAAGACACTCAGTTGAGTGCCACTTAACACCATCAGAATTAGATTAAACACTGTCACGTTATCATCTACTAATGATTCCTCTCCCTGTGAAAAATCTAATTTAACTTGGCACTATAACAATTTGTGCCAAGGACTGTGTTCACATATCCAGAAGCCATAATCTTGTATAATAGCTTCATATTCACAAACTACTGTCTATTTGCATTGCCATCTGCATTTTCACTTAATGTAATTGGCTGTTTTTTTTTTAAGTCCAAAACCTTCAGTACAATCAAGCACAATGGTGATCGGCCAGATGAGTCTTTAATGACCAATTTACTCATTTTACTCTTCATCTCATCCAAATCTTGGCTGGCGTTGGAGCAGGAGATGAAGGGAAATTAGGAAAGAAAGCTGGCAGAATTAAAGAAAGAAACAAAGGCTAATTGGAAGAGCATTTATCGAATGATATGGGACATTATAACTTAATATACTCTTTCAATTACAGCAGATATCAGCCTTTGATTTCACAACTGCGGAAGACGAGATAAAATTCCCAGTGTTGGGCTCGTTTGGGGGAGAGATTTATTTACTTTTGCATCTTGTCTGAGTTGATCTATCATCTTTTTTTTTGTCTGCTTATCTGCTGTCTCTCTCTTTATAATCTAATTTTATCCTCTCTTTCAAACACCTCAGATATAATATGTGAACAGCGCCGTAAAGGAGATCGCTTTGTCATTCTCTGTTTTGCCTAGTTCTTCTTTATCCTTCTTTTCCTTAAAAAATAAACTTTTCAAATAATAATCAAAAAGGACATTACAGTAAATTAGAGTGTGATTTCCTGAGCTACTTTATTTTTCAATGGGTATTAGTAGTTAGCCAATGAAATCCCATGAACTGCTGCCATGAATACATATTTTTATTCTCAGGGGAACAATGCTGTGCCCCAGTTTCTAAACAGTGTGTGAGTTATTTGCTTTGTTATTCCTTTAAATGTGCTTTTTTGTTAGTTTTGAGTTCTTTACTGTCTTATTCATAAGTGTATCTGTGAATTTTAACAGTAAAGCCTTCACTTTTAATTCCTCCTTTCAGCGGGACAAAGGTGGTTCTTACTGTTGCTGTAAAATATGCTGGCTGTCATCATGTTTATCCAGGGCTGCCAACACTAATATGGGAAATATGCCACTTTTCTGCCTGTCACAATCTCAGTTAACCACTTCATATACAATTCTACCAAACTGTTAAGAACACATTGCTCCAAAAACCCATGGCTCCATGAGAACAGAACCATAGCGGGGAGAAAAATAATACGAGCGATAAAAGGAAACAACGGTTCTCTGAAGATGCTTTAAATCTAACAATGAGGAAGAAAACAAATGTTCTCATGTGTGCTAGAGCATCATCATGACCACAACAATACAATCAAAGTGGACCGGAATAGTTATTAAAAGTCAAGAGATACTGATGGCAGGGTAATTCTTCAGACAAGACTGTTAGATCAAACATGATAAATATCTAGACAAGGATAGATGACACTGTGCACACAAAGACCTGCACACACCTCTGCACTCCATCAGCCTCTCCCTCCCCATCTGTTAAGTAATTGGAGGTACAAAAGCATTATTTAACACAGCGTGACGCCCGTCTGCCACTGAGCTCCTCCGCTCTATTGACTCAACTCAGGAAGTTTTAGTTTATGTTCCATTAATGCCTCAGCAAAGTAAACAAGGAATTATTGTAAACACAGACTCCCACTGATGTTGAATTTAAATGTAAAACAAAATGTTTA